ATCCCGCCGGTAACACTCAGAATGAGTGACTAATACGATGTTATTGTTCTTAAATAATAATACTATAATGATTTTAACGATGCGATGTATTGTTCGATTGACGGGATCAATCAAAGTAATATCATAACGATAAAACCCCAAGTACAATACCCCTGTTAAACTATAAAATTATATCACGTCCAGACAATATAATTTTAATCTAAACGATAAATTCTTAACGCTTTACGTCGGATGCTGATGCAAAAATACAATACACAATGATATTGACAAAGACCACATTCGTTTTTTTTTCCATAAACATTTTATCATGATACATACACATACCAATACGAATGCGTAATAAATACACACCCGTTGATTAGTGTGCGAGAATGGAAACAAATTAATGATCCACATCGAATTATTTGAGCGAAATTTTTATATATATATATATATATAGCACTACCAGCACGTTATGATATAATCAATTTTATTTTATTTTTTATTTTTAAATTTAATGAGCCTTTGCCACTTAAGCATTAAGGCTTGACAATAGTAAATCGTATTATCTATTACTACAGGTTACTGAACGGCCATACCAATATCGTGTAACATATAATTTATAGATAAATCTATTGGAACAAATTAATGTCGAACGATTGATAATTGAACAGCTGATCTAATTTTATTATGTTTCATAAATTTAACCTCGAAATATATTTTAAGCACCGTACGTGAACGATTTATATTTGCAATTTTAGAAAATATACAATAATAACAACAGCAATAATAGTAATAATAATTATACACTTGTTTATTGGCGACCAAAATAAATTACATGTATCTCACATTTTCCTATTTATAAGAAAATATTAACTTTTTTTTTTTCCATAAAACGATATTATTTTTCGTGAGTCGTAATTTTTTCCTAATTTCTGCAGTATTAAGAGTCAAGCATGGAGTCTAGACAGCAGACACGTCGTGTCAGAATCGAGTAGAATTCTACAAAAATTATGATATCGCGTTGCGTAAATTTCACACAATATTTATTGGTTCGAAAAAATTATGAAAAGCTATACTCGATTAAAATCAAGTGCATGTCAAATATTATATAATGAACACTCACATACATATAAACGTATGTATACAACTATGTTTTAAAAATAAATAAATATATTAATTTTTTTTCAGTAGCGTACCAAATTGAGTTTTGATGGTAATTTTTTCCATTCGATTGCAAATCATATTTTTAACATGATATTTTAATCAAACAAAATTCCGAAATATGTGTTTACTATAACGCGTATAGCGCGTTATGTGATGGGAACGTCTTGCTGCCAGCCGGTACAATATAGTTGGTTATTTGTCGTGTACCGTCCGAACACGGTAGAATAATTGGAATAATATTCAACACGGAATCAATGGAAAACGATTTACGACCGATCTTCTTCGATCAACTATACATATTATTATTATTAAACCAACTCTCTTCTGAATAATAATAATCGGTGATAATAAAACGATGGCGCCGGATCTTAAAAACTGTGAAAGCGCGTGTTATTGACAAACGAAAATATTTTCGTTGTAACAACCATTAAAGCGTTAATAAAAATGGAATTATTAGTTCATATCCGCCGCCGGACCGCTTACTGCAATGAATGAAACGACGAAGAAAACCGAATGTACATAATATTATTATTATATGCATTATCATCTGCCTACCAAACGAAAAGATCGTACAACTTGCGCAATGTTTACGTGCATACCACGAAGACATCGAGAATTTTCGTTTCCTTTTAAAATGACATTCGTTTCGGTTTATATCCTGTGCACACGCAGCTAATACGATTTCGTTACAAACAATCGAGTTTTATGTATACATATAGCACGTATGAGCGATATCAAAACGGAAACACAATGCAAAACGTAGGTATACACGGTTATGTAAAAAAAAAAAAAAAAAAAGAAAAAAGTATAATCCTGTCCCGCTGTGTGACCAAATCATTAAAAACGGAAAAGGTAGAAGAGCGCATACGTGTATATATACGATACACACAAATACTTTTCAACAATGACCATAACGACGGCATCGTACAGTCGTGAACACTCTTATTATTTCACACGTTAATTATATGTCCTCCGATTGTTAGATAATAAAACCGTGAATTTTTTTGCCATCTACTTCGTATGTAAGACGATGCAACGTAATCGCAAATTATTATTTTTCTTTTTAGCAGTTTGTAGCACATGTTTATGATGTATATAGGTGTACTCGGATAATCTTATGAATAAATATATATGAATAATAATAATACACGTGTATAGACGAAATAAACTATGATTATTGTAATAATAATAATGTTCGGTTGTTTCGAGAGACTTTGACGCTCGATCCGTTCAAAATAAAAATAGCCGTACGGTTTTTTTTTTTTTTTTTTAAAAATTAGTTCATTGCTATACGAATTATTAGTTAAGACGTAATTTGTAAATGTGCATAATAAATGTTCAGAAAGGTCGTGTGAATTCGTATGGATAATATAATGCTTAAACATTGAAAAACGACCGTAAGTATATTAAAGAACTATAAATACGACGAACAAAAATATTTCACACGTTTTTTTTTTTGGATTAAATGTACTTGGGTCAAGGTATGTGTATACAATTAGAGGCAGAGCCACTGGGCCGCATTATAAAAAATGAATTACAACAAAACGTAATAAATGGTCATACCAGGTAAACGTGAAGTTAAACGAATCGAACGTTAAGTGTTCGTCACAACTGTTTAAAATGACGAAATATGACAATTAATCAAAATTACGCAAGATCTTATTAAATACCCATCTGAAAAATTGCATCATTTGACTAAGCAAATTACTGACAGTTTTGGTTCGTAAAATTGTTGGTAAAATAAGTAAAACCGCGAATTTACGTTATGCAACGTAAAAAACCATATACATTTACACACAATAACAGCAGTAACATACGATGTACAAATATTGATAATATTAGTAGTGTAGCTAGTGTTATAGTACATAATCATAATTATTGTACGGATGCATTTTGTATATTCTATAAGCTTAACGCCATAAGTCTTATGGAACACGTAAGACGGGCTAAGGGTTCGACGCATCATTGCATACCTGACGATTGCAGTAAATCATCACTCCCAACAAGTACAATATCTCACTGTTTAATTATTTTAATCGAACACACACACACACACATTAAACGCAATCGCATTATATTCGAAACATAGTATGGTCGGTATCAATATACTTGAGTTCTACAAAATATGAGCGGCCGTTACGCATGCAAAAGTTTACGGAATGAGAATAGGATTATATATTGAAAACTTGAATTTCACGAAACGTTATGTCCTGCGCCACAAGAATGAGGATGATGTTACGACATCCTACACGCCTCCTGACTGTACGTGACCTTTTCTCGATATTATTGCACACACATGGTATTACTGTTCATGATACTGGAATAATTCGAACACAGTTACTGGACTCTTTCGAGTTCATACTATGCAGTATTATCTGTTGAAACTCCCTAGTATGTAAAAGTAAACGTTGAAAAATACTGACTCACCGGAAATATCATTCGATCAGTTAAATGCATGTGTTACTCTGTAGTTTTGTTCAATAGAAGCAAAATGTTCTTTATGGTCACATTAGTTTCGCTTAATCTATATTCATATATAAAGATATACGTATAACACTTGATACAATATATCAACAAATACTTCGTTCAAAACATGTTTTGAATAGATATTATTGTATTGAATACCACGTAGTAAAATATAGTTTTTCAATGGTGCTGCTCATCTTAATTGTATTTGAACCTTAACGTTTATTCGAAAACATGTTTTATACTTAGTCCCTTTGTTCGATACTACAGTGGTAGGGTTTTGAAGAATAAAAATAATATTTGGATTTAGCGAATTTAGACCCGTAGTAGCCATTTTTTTACCGACCGAATTTCGGTACAGTTAAAGAGAGATCTAAATTTATATCGAGTAAAAGTAAAATAACGAATGAAACTGACATTGTAGCTGTATTCGATACGAAAACAGTAAAGCGAATAAATAAACAAATAAGCGTTAAACTACTGTCACTTTAAATGTATAATATTATTTTAATCCAAGAAACGTTTTAGATAGTACGGATAATCAATATGAATTGTCCACGTCAAGGAACGCGAGATGGAATTCTTACGGTTCCCGTTCAAACCGAAACCGTTTCCTTTTAAGCCTTAAGCCCGTTCAAACTTAAGCGTTCCCATTCAAACTTAAACCGTTTCCTTAAGCCCGTGTTCCAGAGGTGTTTCGAGTTGACGAACAGCACGGTTGTAAGCGGCGAACGTGATCGAAATTCGATTAACGTGTAGCATGTTTCGGTTTGTTAACGTACACATTTAATGTTTGTCTTATCTACCGTAGTTGGTGTAACGCGGTGTAAAAACTGTTACAAATATGTACAATTTTGTTTAAAAATCGTATCCCGGACGATAATCGTGTTTGTAGGTCCCGATTACGAGTGCCGATACCGTTGGACCACTGCACGTACACGACGGTGTTGGTCGACCGACGCATTACGGAAGCAGGATCGCCCGGCGAAAGGCAGAGGCGAAAATATATAATTTTTTTTATTACTTTTTGCACACTCAAGGATTTGGTCGTACTCCCGTTTCAAACGTTAACAGTAATGGGTGTTACACAGTTAAAACAGTTGGATGTTTTAGATTTTGCTGATGATAGTCGTTCATCTTGGAATTAAAAAAAAAAAAAATGTAAAACCAAAAACAAATACCACGAGATGTAGAGAACATAACCGCAACACGCTTTTTGATGTCGTGCTAGCATTTCGTGCTGCACAAAGCGTGTCGTACCGCGCACGATTTCAGTCCCCGGCGAAAGGAGACGCGCGCGTCCGGGCGGAGTGCGCCCGAGAGGGTGTGTGTTGTCGACGGGCGACGACGATTAGCAACAGTCGACGACCAAACGGTTAAATACTTACGGTCACGGCCGAGGGTGTGTTCCGGGAGATGCGGCCGGCGGACGACACGGGTATTATTCGGTGAACGTTGCTGTGTTTTTGTGAACGATTTGTACGGACCGCGCGTGGAAGTCGGATGGCGAGGACGGATCGACGCGAGAACTGAGACGCGCGAGACTGTGCGTCGCGAACGGTCGCGAGTGTATTGAACGGGTCGAGCGCGCGCGTATTGCCCGTCGCGGTGCACCGGAGAACGCGTTTCTGTGTGCGCGGACCGCGCGCGCGAAGACTGTCCCGCGGGAGGGGCAGGAGAAGGAACGCGGCCCGAAGAAAGTGGGGTCGGCCGGGCGCGTAGGCGCTACAACCGTGTACGATAGTAATAATAATAATAATAATAATAATAATAATGTATAAATAAAATAATATCGTAACGCGATCTGCGGAAAGGAAAAGTGAAGAGACGCTGGAGGGCGGGCGCGTGTGTACGTGTCGTTGGCATTGGCGCGTCCCAAGGTCATCGCGGCGGCAGCAGCGGTTCGAACAACACGTTTTCCGTCCGAACAGAAACGGCCCTTTTTTTTCCTCTTTCACCGTTGTTGGAATTCTCTCCCGGTCGACGATTGTTACCGCCACGAAAGGATTATTATTACGGTCGCACGTGCACGCGCGTTTTCCTCTTTGTCCTCATTCCCTATTCTTCCGTCTCCCTCGCTCGCGCACGTTCGTCCGATCGTCTCGTAAACACCACACGAGTGCGTTGTGTTACGGTTACGGCTGACGTGTGCGCAAGTCGAAACGCCCGGCTTCGTCCAGGGCGGCGTGAAAACGCATCGTGTACGTTGATTGCATTTGTTTCGCGCTACTCCGCCGACGGCGAAAATCAATGTTTCGAACGAAAAACGCATAGTTCCGTAGCTTTCGGAGCTCAAAAACGTTTTCGGCACTTCGAGACTTTCGAACAATTTCTTAACGCGCGCGTGCGCAGTAATATGTGCACCCGCTTGAAATGTCAAACCACCACCAATCGGTACGGTGGTTTTGGCCGTGCGCTCGTCAGTCGGCGAACGAGTGGTGTTCGAATCGTGTACGAACGTATGTTTGAAATTTTTTACATCGCGTTCGTACAACGTATACATTACACCTTGTGGCGCGCGGGGAGACTGTCCGGCACTTGGTTGACTAACGACGATTCGAGTATTTATTTTTTTTTTTTATACGTTTGTTGCTCTCCTCTTCGCACGTCCCATCGACATCGTGGTCGCATCGGGACGCGATCGCAGAAAAAAAAAAAAAAACAATCAAAACAATACAAATTAATATAATAATACGCGTCGGCGACGGTAGGTAACATATTGTCACGTCGGGCGCAACGACCGGCACCGGTTGCGGCGCGATTGTCCGCCTTCGAAAACACGATAGAGTACCTACACACGTTTTCGATCGACGGCCGAGATGAACACCGCACCGGTATTGTACGTATGGTTGTGTAACACTGTCCGCCTTGCGACGGCACCGGATCACGAATAAAATAACGTTTAATCGTATTCCTATCGGAATTTCACTTCGGTCGTTTTCAAAATCGTTTCCCCCAAACGTCGCGCACGTTCAGTGCATCCCGTCGCCATAAATCACCGGTTTAAGTGACTCTCCGCCTCGCCGAACTTGCACAACTCCGTATTGTAACGTGCGCTTTTGGTTGTTGCATTTACGCTTTTTCCAAATACTCGCTGCCAAATACATGATGGTTTTTAATCTCGCGTTACGACAAACGTTTTTCTATTTATCTGTTCAAATTTAAATTTATTCCGAAGAAAAATAAACATTTAGGTATCGCAACGTTTCGGCGCAGTATTACGTGTTCGCGCCGCGTTAGCCTGTGTACAGTGACTAGGGTTCGGATTTGAAATTTTTTTTTTTTTTATCACTTACTAGTTGGTCTTTTTAATTTTCAAGTAATTTTTTCTAATTGCTTTTTTATACAAATTAAATGCCTTTTTTTCACATTCTAAATGCTTTTTTTTATTGATTATATTGCCTTCAAATACGAATCCTAGTTACACGACACATACCCGTTTGTACGCCTTGTAAATAATATGTGCACCGTAGGTTTGATCCAACAACGCCCGACGTTCATGTACATACTTCCGGATGAAAAACTGTAGTTATTATCGAAGCCAGTCAGCGTGGGAGCATTGATTTTATAACATATTATCAAGTCAACGGTAGGAGGCGCGCGCACCTAAACATTATACCGGCTTGTGAGCGCCGCACGAAGGCATTACAATAATAGGTACGGGACGTTGTGCGACGAGAGGAATAGCCGGCCAACGCGTAGCAATTAGTCTGTTACGTGTTACACATTGTGTACAATTCGACTTTACGAACGGATTTTGAATTAAGTGAACTAATCGTCGGTGAATCGATTTTCCCGAAGTGATTCGCACCGTGTGATAGGTAAAATAATGACGCAATAAGTATTGTAAGTCATCTCTTAGAAGCCACAAGCGTATGATGACGAATGCGAGTAAATACATTCGTAGCGTGTGTAACAACCGCGATTATGGATCAGCTATTAATATAATAATGGTATGCGTTTACGTTTCTCGTCGTGTAAACCGCGAACGACGGCGTTCGCGATTCACGTAATATTATATTTGTAAACGTTTTGTTTTCATTTTTCGTGCACCAACGTGCACGCACATCATGGCCAAAAACGAATATTTTAATGAGGGAAACGATAACGGTATATTTGCTGCGTTTTTTTTTTTTTTTTTTAATTCAATTCGATAGTAGTTCTGATCCGCTTCAAACTACTCCCTTATCATTGTAGTACTGTAGTAATCTGAAATACCAATATATAAATAAAATTAAAATGCCATTCACTCACTGACTGATCGCCGAACATCAATCCAATTGATCTCATTGATTTCTTCGAATTGTTAATAGATTGTACTTTTTACTATGCACAGGTGTACCACGAGAAAGGATTTGATAAAAAATCGAATTTTTAAGGGTCGAAACAGTTTTGGACTACAGACTGGTTGTAGATATTTTCTCACTTTTTGATTGCTTGGAAAAAATTCAATTTTTTTTTATGACATGTTCATTTTGATAAAAAAAATCCATTGGGAAGGTATATGTAAATTACGTGTAGACATATAGATTAATAATAAACATAAATCGATTATACAAAGATATTGTGCACCAATTTAAGTTTAAATTATTTTTACGTCGAAATATAGTAATTACTCAAATCTAAAATAGTAAAATATCTCCCGGGCGAGGCCGGATAATTCAACTAGTTATATTATAATTTATTATATGATCATCCGGAAAAAAAACAAAAACAGGATCCGTAGCTGTACGAGTCGAGAAACGTTATTCATCGATTATTATGTAGATATTATTTGAAACTCGACTCAAGGTGCTTGGTATTTTTACGGCGTGAAAATATTTGAATGTAACCATAATATAATCGATGTTATAACTTTTTCCGTGCACTCCACCGACGAGGATTATCCTAAAGGGAGAAAACAGGTTTAACCCTCACATGCTACGAACACTGTAATACCCCATTAAAACCCTATAGCGGGAATATACACTGTATGCTACATGAATAATACGAGTAAATAATGCGTCGACGGTTTTATTTCGTTCGTCCATAAAATATACGTGTTCCCGTACGGAATATAATAATATCATCCATTTATCAAACCATCAAATACGTATTTTTTGACATCATAAAAAGATAAACATTGATTTATTTACCCTTATACGTAATATTCTATTGTGATGCATTACCATTGGCACTGGTAAATATTTAAATATAGCTTACCTGCAATGCATTTTAATGGTATCTATTTAAAACAATTTTTGTACAGACCATATATTCGAAAGGCATAAATTACAATTTTGTGTTAATATAAATCATGAAATACGGTTTGATTTAATTCAATAAACCCGTGGAAAATAAACATTTTAGAAACATTGCGTTCGGTAGAATTTGGAAAATTACATTTCTCGAAGTCATCAACAGTAGACAACGACGATGTTGTATATTATAGATTATCGTAGAAAAAATTATAATCGTTGATTTACTTTTTTAATTTTCGTACGTATAAATTATCATTAAATTTATAAAAGCCGGATGTTTACTATTTTCTAACGCGGAACAATAGTTACTAGTTTCAATGTCCATAAACAGGTGCGTTAGAAAAGTATTATTATTTTAAAATTGATGACAATGATTAATCATCAGACTCTTCATACACAATAAGAAGATGGAATTCATGTTTAAGATTAATAAATCATTATAAATCAAAGTTTCTATATATATAAAAAAAAAAAAATAATGAAATCCATACATAACTATAAAATAGTTTTTAATTTTTAATTTTTTAAATTTCTGTTCCGAAATTAAAAACGGTAAAATAAATTATATTTTTTTAATGGATTCGTTTAAAGCTGGCCTTTTATCTTAATGTTTATTTTACGTGTAACCTATTTAAAATGTTCATTTTTCATAAAATACGAGACTTACTTATTAAATATAAAAAATAGGAAATGTTCTTATTTTCAATTTTGATAACTATACATAAATATGATACGTAAATCATATTGCCGAACAAAATGTTTGATTTTAATAGGTCTTGCAATTTTTTCAGAATACGATTTACCACCATAGAACGCGGAACGGAACGCTACTAACCAAAACTCTTCTATATTTGCGTTCTATAACAAGTTTTCTGCTATTATGCTTAATTATTTAAACAGTTAGTCTCGTTTTAAGACTAACTGCTTGTAGTAATAAACGATCGTAATATGATAATATATTATAATGTTGTGGTGACGTAAACAACGCACCGCGAATCGTCCAAGTTATTTACAATATTGTCAGTGGATAAGGGGAAATCCCATGTTCTAGAATATGCGATGATTATTTCGTTTCGAGAATGTTCTAGATAATCGACGCGGATATACATATACCGGCTGGTCAGACGCTCAATCAATCAGTCCGTGAGTACAATCTGCGACGCACCGTGAATTACACTCCGCGACATATTCGGCAATTCCTCCGCAGTTGTAACGCGTATCGATATTTGTACATACATATTTATATAATATAGTGTCTATTTTAATTAAATTAAATTGTGAGTGATTTTTGTTACTTAAATTCCACAATGTAATTTACTTAATCAATAGACGTTGAAATTCGATAAACAGAAAATGATAAGCCTATGCA